TCAGCTGAACTAGTATTGAAGTAGTGTGAATAAACAGTTTTGGTTTGAATGGCCAATAAATTGGTGAAAGAAAAAATTAATTGGGAGAAAACACAGATGATTAATCAGTTTTGCTAGTACCATAAAATACAAAAGATGTTTATGTACATTTTAACACATCTATAAATTGCCAAAACTAGAGGTTTTCAATGTTCATATGAAAAATATTGAGTTCTTTTCCAACCTTTGTTATTCTCCATCATAGTACCTTATTCTTTTCTTTGTAGCATTTAATACAATTTATGAGTATGTTGTGCTTATGGTACATATTTACTGCCTGTCTCCTCACACTGTACTATTATTCATTCACTGAACAAGTAACTATTGAGTGCCTACTCAGTGAATGAGTAACAATCTGTTTCAACTATGTAAAACCACACTGAGTGCCAGCACATTTATACATTTATTTTTGTGTGAGTGCTGTCTAGATGTACTGGCCTATGTTAACTGTTAACTTTACTAACACTGTGATGACAATAATGAATACATTTCCCTTAAATTATATAATGTTGTCTTTCTTTTTGCTTTTTTTAAATTGATTTTTTAAAGAGAGAAAGAGAGAGGGATAGAGAGTTAGAAACATTGATGAGAGAGAATCATCGATCAGCTGCCTCTTGCCCACCCCCTACTGGGGATGTGCCTGCAACCAAGGTACATGCCCTTGACGGGAATTGAACCCGGGACCTTTCAGTCCGCAGGCTGACCCTCTATCCACTGAGCCAAACCGGTTTCGGCATAATGTTGTCTTTCTATTGCCTCAAGGAACTACACATAGCACATCTAAAAACCGATTTCAGAGGTCTATAGAAATCAATAGGAAAGGAAAGTGGAGCTATATCTCTCTCCCACTTCCTTTTATGCTATTTCTCTTTTCTACCTTCATCCAATAGAAGATAGGAAGGAAAGAGGAGAAAAATCAGTGAGCTATATTCGATCTGCCTAGGACTAATCTAATCTTTGTATTTCAACGCAGCCATAGATAACCCAACAACACTCAGGCTAAAGACATCATATAGGATTTCCAGTGGCCCACTTCTGCCACCAGAATGTCAAGCTAAACTGCAAAGTCGGTCTTTGGATCCTCTCACCTCCTATTCTAAGTAATCTCCTATTTTCTACCTTCTTACTGTTTTCTCTATTCATACTCAAGATACTCCAGTTGACTTTTGACTAGCCAACATTGACTACCTCACTCATGTCTTCTGCCTCAATAAAAATTCTGAATTCTAGGAAGTACCTATTCTTTACCTAGAGATGTACATGTGATATGAATTAATTCTCACTAAGATGTGAATAATGAGTAGGCATAACTCATCTCAGAGGGGGAGGAAGTTATTAAAATGAATCACTAGAGAGAAGTGTTTTTTTTGGGGGGGCTGCATATTTGGGGGAAAACAATTTTTAGCTGAATACTTTCTGCTAAATACTTTAGCATCAGGGAATAAATAACTAGGTAGAATTAGCATTATTATCATATACCTATCCCAAAACAACAGTCATCTAGTCGGATCATCCAAGGCTTTTGCTTAGTAGAACTACATACTATTATACAAAAGACTCCCACACTATCACTTTGCCACTAACCTAGGCTGATGAGCTGCATTACCAAACTGTAGATCTTGCTTTTTATTTCAAATGCAGACAACTCTGCCTACTACATCTTATCACATGACCGTTATCTTTATCTAATCCATCCAGCCTCTTCAGCCCCAGTAATGAAAGAATAAAGTCAATTATACTCATAATCCTCAGAGAAGGAATAAAGCAAGCAAGCAAGGGGATGTTCTCTTTAGAATAGCATGTCCCCGTGGTCTGGGAGACAGTGCCATTCTGCCTAAGGGTTTGTGGAATTTCTCCCCACAGTGTGGTTTCATTAAGTTTTAAATTTTATTAACTTCTAGGATGAGAGGGCAAACAACCCAGTCAAATATATTTAGGCACTTAAAAATAACTCACATGTAGTTTTTAACCTCCTCTCCCTCTTCCCATAAAAGAGCTGCCACCATAGTTTACTGAAAGGAATAAAGAAAGAAAAAAAAAGAAAAAGAAAGAAAGTCCTGAATGACTTTACACAATCTATGAGTTCACACGAAGGAAAGGAAAAGACTGATTCCTTGGGTTTACCCTTCAAACCTATACTACCTTTCTTTCACCACGATGGCATGATTTTTGCTAAAATATTGTTGCATTGCCAAAAATGTTACCAAAGACCCAAGTCAAAAAGCACATCTTTTAAATTTGTTAATCATCAGATTGAATCATCTGACTTTTCTCCTACCTAGCTGAGACAGTTATGCTGAGAGAATAAGAATTTTGATATGGAAACAAGAGAAGGCAGGCAATTTAGAAGCATGGGTCATTTTGAGAGATATAAAGTCTAGTAGAAGAAGGAAGGAAAATATAACTGAAACTAACATTTATTGGAAATTTACTCTGTGCCAGGTATCCTGTTAGGCTTACCACCTTACCTTATGTATTTTTCACAATTCTGCAATGTAAGTATTATCATTCATATTTTATAGAAGAAATTCATACTTAGAAGAATTAAAAATTATTTTCCATAAGGTCATATAGTCATTCAATTAATTTCCTTTTCAGCCCCAATTCTCACTTCTGATGCTCTGCTCTGAGCCTTCTTTGGAGATCTGTTGGGCTGATCCAGTTTCTAGCGTGTTGTACTCTAGGCTGCAGCTTCTTGGCTTGTTTCTCCTTCAACCTACACCCATCTACTTTCTTTCAGAGATTTCTGGAAATTTCTTGTTTATTGGTGACCCAGTATTGACTTCCCTTTGTTGTTTTGATACTTTTTATTTCAATGGACTCTCTGGAGAGACAGGAGTCAAATGCTGATATCTAGTCCACCATCCTGAACTTAGTATTTGTAGGGAAGGGAAATACCTGGCAGTCTGTAGGAATTTTCAGAGATACAATAGGACCAGTCAGTTCTAGTTTCTCTCATCTTTTTATAGTGCTAATAAACTATGAAGAAACAAAGTGACCATCTAGGTAAATATAATACTATATAGTTTGCACTCACTAGAGAGCCCAAGTACTTCTTTGATATTTAATAGAATTTTCATGATTATTGGCTTTTAACTTATTATATGTAGGACTTCCTATGTTGTATTACTGCATATTTCTGGGATACAGTGCCACTGACTTCATTAAATGAAATGTATTTTCTCAAATAGTGCTAGAGGGCAAAAATCCCTATTCTAACATACTATGTTTTAGATCTTAAATTGGGGGGGGCTGAGGGAGAGAAGGGAGGGGGAAGGAGAGAGGGAGGGAGGGAAGAAAAGAGGGAGGGAGGGAGGAAGGACAGAAAGGAGCATTGATTGGCTGCCTCTCGTACATGCATGCCCTGACCAGGGATCTAACCTGCAACCTAGCTATGTGCCCTGACTGGGAATCGAACCCACAGCCTTTTGGTATATGAAACCACACTCCAACCAAGCCATCAGGTCAGGGCAATTTTAAAGTTGTAAAAAACCCTCAAGTCAATAAATTAACAAATGAATGCTATGTTGGAAAGTAGTGGGTTTCTTTTAGGGACACATCCAAATGTATTATGTAGTGGCTTAAAAAATAACAGAAAAACCTCACTCAAGGCTTTAGTTCTCTTGTATAGCAGTTGAGAGTGCTGAAGAGTGGAGATGCCAGGTAGTTTCCCAGCCTGATGTCAGCTATTCAGCTAAAATGTCATGTTATATACTAGAAGACCCAGTGATTACCTTTTAGAAGACCTAGATACTGAGTTAGTATTAGGTCAAAAAGTAACATAGAAGGGGAGGAAATGATTGAAATATTAGCCAAGAGTCTACACAAAATAAAAAACAATATACTAATTCTGGTTCTTTAAAACAGGTTTTACTGAAGCTACCTAAATGTCACCTTTTGGGTTCTGAGCAAATGACATGAGGTCATATGGCACTTCACATAATAGTAAAGGCAATTATTTTATATGTATTTTTTAAATAAGCAAAAAATTAAAAAATATTAATAGTAACATAGCAAGAAGCAGTTGTATTTGACTATATATGATTTTAACCTTAATTAAATATTAATTTGTTTAAAATAGTAAAATAAAATGTGTTCATTGTTAATGAAAAAAATGCATGACACTTGTTACAACATGGTAAAGAACACTTTATTCAAGAGGAGAAGCTACTGAGACAGGCATAGGGACCACTGCAATGGTATTTAGCAGTGGGGGAGAGTTTGGGCTCAACTCTGAATACTGTATGGACAAGTGGGAATTTATAGCCAAGAAGCAGGTTGGGAATCTGTGGGTGAAAAATTACTGAGGAAACATCAGGAGTGAGGGGGATTCTGATAAAACTGACAGAACAGAAGTCTTGTGAAGACAGGCTGTGGTGGCAAGACATCACTTGAAGGATAACTGGTAAGATATTGAGAGTGGGAGGCTTGGGAGAAGGTTCAGGAGACTGACTAAAATGTGATTAAGCAAAGAATCTTTGCCAGCATTTTCAGAATTGTGTTGATACAGTGGCCTCAATGAAGGTCAGCCACACAGTATCTGTTATACGTATTACAGTGATACTTAAAATCTTGGCCACAGTAGCCTTGGTTGAAAAAACCTGAAGTAAAAGAAAGAAGCTAATGCTCATTAATGAATTACACTTACATAGTTTTGCTTGATTCAATAAACTGAAGATAAACTTCTTGTATGATAACATCATTAGGACATAGGGAAATCATTTACAAATTACTGATTATCATATAATTTTATATGTGTAAACTGTTCAGCTGACTGGGCTGAAGTTCAGTACATGGGAAGAAATGTATCTGAGTAAATCCTGTTCACCCATTTTAATTCGCTTTGTTCATCTATTTCAACAGGCTTATCACAAAAAAGATTTCAGCTAATCAAAGGTTATAGTCCGTTATTGGTTTAGCATAAAATGTTATAATCTAAAAAACACCTCCCAATTACCTACCTAAGCGATGAAATCCAAAGGTGAATCTTCTGGTTGGTGATTTTGAAGACAGCCACAAAGCAAGCAGGGTCAGTATGATAGCACTTAAGTCAGTTAACATATGAAGGGCATCTGTCATGATTGCTAGGCTATTGGCAATGTATCCACCTTAGAGTAAGGATAAGAGGGAAGAAGGAATATGTTAACTAAAATAAATGTAATAAACCCAAAAATACGTAACATCCTACAAAACATGAACTTCTAACTAAATCTTTATCCTATTATAATGAAATCAAGGTAACTGAAATTTTAAGCAAAACGTTAAATATGCATATATTTTTCTAGTGAGAATGTCCATTTCTATGAATTGATTCTCTGAGGAGTCAACAACCTTAAAGAAGAATCACTAAACAGGGGCTAATACATAAAGAAGAATTTTGTTTTAGCACTGCAGCTTTTACTCAAACAACTGTCCTACTCTTAGTGAAATTAATAACCACAAAATCTACATATTACAATAAAGCTGAAGAAAAGGTAAGTACTTGTTGTTTGGGAGAGTTTGAACATAAAATTAAACTGAAGAAACTCGTAAAATGTACATTAGCTTAAAATAAAAGATACAAATAACGGATTCAATTGGGTACACAACAGCAATGTCTCCTAATAGAGAGATAAAAGGTGGTATTTAAAATACACAATTTTGCCCTAACCGGTTTGGTTCAGTGGATAGAGCATTGGCCTATGGACTGAAGGGTCTCAGGTTCGATTCTGGTCAAGAGCATGTGCCTTGGTTGCGGGCACATCCCCAGCAGGGGGTATGCAGATGGTGGCTGATCCATGTTTCTCTCTCATTGATGTTTCTAACTCTATCCCTCCCTTCCTCTCTGTAAAAAATCAATAATATGTATATTTAATAAAATAAAACACACAATTTTAAATTTTATATTGATTTTCTAGACATTTTATATATATATACACACACATAATTTCACATATATGTCTGTGTGTGTAAATATATGTTGTTCCATTATGGTTATATAATTTTCCTATTACCATCCATTGCGTAAGCTTTTATAATATAATACAGAGCACTCAAACTTTTATGGGTACCAGAATCATTTGGAAGTTTTGTAAAACTGCAGATTGCTTGACCTCTTAGAATCTCTAATTAAGTAGGTCTGGATGGGACCTGAGAATTTACATTTCCAACATGTTCCCAGTGAGGCTGATGCTTCTGGGCTCAGAACCACACTTTGAGAATCACTGTTATGCTATATTAGTGGTTCATGCACATTGAAAGAAAATTAAGAAATATTTCAATATCACTATTTGCTTTATCTCTATAATAGAATGTCAACCAAACTCAGGATTGACAATGACAGATTGAAACACATGCATGCAATTGGCACCAGCAAGAGCTTTATATGTATCAATGTTTATTTTAAATTGCCAGTGCGTGTAATCTGTACTGGCTGGTTGATCAGTTGGATGGTTGGACACTTAGCCTTTTATACATATAGATAGTGGAACTTCATGGTGAGGGTGTCTTGACATACTAGTGTGCTGGGTTGCTGATCTCCCTATTTCTAAGATGACTGTGCAGAGCCAGAAGCAGCAGAACTGGAGGCAGTGATTTTGTAGTCACATCCACGTACTCTAGTGTGTTCTATACAAATATAATTTTTATGTACAGTAGGTCCTCAGGTTACATCAGAGACCCATTTCTAGGGCGAGATGTAACGCAATTTGCTGAAAGTCAGAACCATCTACATAAACACCTATGTCACTCACATGGAGCACATACACAGCAGTAGTGAAATGAAACAGTAAAAAAAATATAAAAGATAACAATTACTGACATTTACTTGTGGTAAATAAATAATAAAAACACAAAGCACATATGTATATATGCTGAAATGATAGAACTTTTTTTCTTTTATAAATACTGTGAACGCGAGATGGCGATGTAACCACGAAATGATGTACATCGAGTCTGATGTAACCTGAGGACTTCCTGTATTCCCTGACATGAAAATGCTGGAAATCACTGAGAAAAAATACAGGTTGGTTGTTAATAACATGGGGCTTTGGAATCTCAGAGATTCTAAGCTAGTTACTTGCTAACATTTTGAGCCTCATTATTATAAAAGGAGGGTATGTTAAAGCCACGTTGTCCAATAGAACTTTCTGAGATGATGGAAATGTCCTCTATACTGTCTACTAGTCATATGTAGCCACTAGTCATATGTGACTTTTGAACATTTAAAATATGGCTAGTGTAACTGAGGAACTGAATTAAATTAATTTAATTTTAATTAACCTAAATTTACAGAGCCACACGTTGGTGATCATCAGCAAAAATAGCAGAGTAGGGACCTCTGAAAATCATCTTCATAAAAGCAATAAGAACATGGACAAATCAGCTTATTTAAAACTCTAGAAATTACCTGAAAACTGTTATAGGTAGCTTTTATTCAAGGGAAATGGCGGAATCTTGGTAAGAATAGTGAGCTCTGTGGCATTTCCCCGTATGTAGCTTTTTGGTAACCTTGAACACCAACAAGTGGCAATCCCAGTGAAAACCTCAGCAGGGCAGCCACTGCAAGGGACAGAATAGGGTTGGAGCTCCTTAAGAGCCCCATTCCCAGAGCAATGTCTTTTATTTGACCTTGTCTCATGGTTCCCAGGAAGACCATACTTGCCAGGCTGTTTTTTCTTTTACTTGACTTGGAGTTCTGCCCTGTGCAAAAACAATCGGAGGCAATAGATAACAATGTGTTCCCCGTGTTCTGAAATTCAAAATAATGTACCCAATCTGCTGGGCTTTTGTTGACTCCTTCAATTTGCAAATGTATACCTTTCAGTTCTGGGGGCATTTTCTAAACTACTGTAATACCCCCTCATCTAAAGGGGATATATTCTAAGACCCCTAGTGGATGCTGGAAACTGTGGCTAGTGTTGAACCCTATATATATTATGTTCCTATACAAATACCTATGATAAAGTTTATGGCTTCTCTTATGGCATAGGTGAGTTGTCAGCATTTTGGGGCCATTATTAAGTAAATAAGGATTATGTGAAGACAAGCACTGTGGACATCATGACAATCAAAAAGGCTACTAAGTGACTATCAGGATGGATAGTGTGGACAAAGGGATAATTCACGTCTTGGGCAGGATGGAGCAGGACAGTGTGAGATTTCCTCATGTTAATCAGAACCAGTGCATATTTGAAAACTTATGAATTGTTTATTTTGGGAATTTTCCATATAATATTTTTGGACTATGGTTGACCACGGGTAACTGAAACTTGTGGAAAGTAAAACCACAGATAAGGGAGGACTACTGTATGTTGCTGATTTCTTTCCTTCTGCTTTCTTTGTTCTTTAAACTCCTATTACTTGATGTTTGGACTAATATACTAATTTTCTTGCATTTTTTTTCTCCTGTTAGCCATTTCTACTTTTTTGCTCTCCTCTTGTCAGAGATTACCTTAGTTCATCTTCCAACTTTTCTGTGGAGTTAAAAATATTTTTTGTGTTTTTATTGTTTAAAAGATTTTTTAAAAAACTTCCCCTAAGGGTATTTTCTCCATTGATTTTTAGACAATGTGGAAGGGAAGGAGGATGGGGGGAGGGAGAGAGAGAAACATTGACATGAGAGACACATGGATTGTTTGCCTCCCACCCAAGGTTGGGGCTGGAAACCCACACCTAAGGGAGGTGCCTTTGACCGCGATTCAAAACCACAACCCTTTGGTCCTACGTTCTAACCACTGAGCAACAGGGCAGGGCTAAACGCTCTCCGCTACCCCCCCCCCCCCCCCCCCCCCCCCCCGCTCCAATTTATTTAGCAAGATCAGCACCTCCTGGGAACTTGTTAGAAATGCAAACTCACAGGCCAGATCCCATAACTACTTAATTAGAAACTCTGGCCCAGCGTTGTGTTTAAGTTCTCTAGGCGTTTCTGATGCATTAGATTGGTTCTTGGCTTTCCCTATTGCTTGCTTAGGAGTTGGCTTCCTTGGATCTATTGTCAGTTTCCTCCTTTATCAGTTTCCTATATAGTTTCCCAAATTTGTGTTGTTATTGTCTCCCTTCCAGTTTTCCACATCTGTGTGGATATACATATCCCTTTATTATAGTTTAAAAGAGGCTTCAGGAGAGAGTACAATTAGATGAATGAGTTCATTTGCCATCTTTATCTGCACTCACTTTTTAAACTTTTTCACTTCAATAAAAATGCAGTTGTTAATCAACAACACTGTTATTAAACTCAAGGATACTTTAGTTCTCATCTTATTGGACCTCTTGCAGCTTCAATTTATTTATTGCCACTTTGAAATACTCCCTTTTCTTGATTCTGAGATACCTGTTTGCTTTCTGCTTGATTTCTAAAGTTGGAGTTCCTCCAGACTTGGCTCTTTAGGTGACTTTTTCCATTCCCACGGCATTACATATCTCTACCTTGACCTCTTTTCTGAACTGAAGACTCATATGCTCACTAGATATATTTACTTGGCTATTTCACGTACATATGAGAACACGTTTAAAACAGCCATAGCTAAATCCTGCTCTATATTTTCTCCCTGCTTCATAAATTACATACATTTCCATACACTCAGCTGCTTAGGTGAGAAACTTCAGAATTATTGCTGACACTGCTCTCCCATCCACCACCACAGCCAAACCACTAGCCAAGTTTGCCAATGTTACCTCTAGAATGTTTCTCAACCAGTAAGTACATTTTTCTCAAGCCACTTTGGTCCAAGCCATAATAATCTCTTGTCTGCATCTCTGCAATAGTTGTTTCCATTTCTGCACCCTCCAATCCATTCTCCATGTAAGAGCCAGAGTAATCTTTTAAAAAGGTAAATCCTAACATGTCACACTCTGCTTAAAAGCCTTCACTGGCTTCCCCTTGTATTTAGAATGAAAAACTACACTCATTTAACACGGTCCACTTAATACAGGACCTACCTGATCTGGTTCCCCTGCCTCTTCCCCTCTTGTTTACTACATTGCAGCCAAACTGTTTATCCTCTAACACACTAAAAATGAACTCAGCAGAAATTTAATGAGTGTCTACTCTGTGCCAATCATTGTTCTAGGTGCTGGGAATTCAGCTTACATTTCAGTGGAGAAAGACAAGATGTTACACAAGTAAATATACTAAAACAAGGAAATATATAAAGAAGATAATCTCAGCTGTAGAGGGCTTTTATAGTTGGGAAGGGAGCAGGGGAGAAGGAAGGTTTAGTTAGAAAGGGCTCTCAGAGGTTTCTTTTGAGATGAGACATAAATGACAAGAAACCTGCCAAGAGAAGATTTGGGAAAAGTCAATCCACATAAAGCAGTATTTTTCAAATTGCAGACCCTGCTGTATTTGCGGACCCATGAAATCAATTTAAGTGGGGTGGAACCACAACTGAAAAAATATTAGAAGACATCACATGAAATAAAACTTTTCAGTTATCCATATGTATTTATACACATGTGTATATGTTCAGTTATACATATGTATTTATACATATGTGTATATGTACACACATACATAGGTATGATGCACACCTACATGAATCACAGTGTTAACTGTATTTCTTACTCTAGTGACCTCAAAATAACCTGTGAAGGCCTGAGGGGCAGCAAAGAGCTTTGTGAGTTATAGGGGAAAGGTGGCCAGCACGGCTGAAGAGAGCGCGGGGGAGGAGTGATAGGAAATGAGGTAGGAAATGTAGGTAGTTTTCCTACACTGAACCATCCAACCAGCACCTCAAACCTGGACTGCCACCTCTCTTCTCACCATGGCTCACCCCGAGGAGACACCGTGGGAGAGTGGCCTCTCTGGGTTAATGTCACTTCGTAAACGGTTATTAAGGCAAGTTAGCAGTTACACTAATATGTTTTATAGTGAGAATGTATTTAAGTAATTAAAAAATGAAAAATAAGCCAAGTTCATAAACCCCGGGGGAGCCATTTTTCTGGTTCCTCTCAGATTCTCCTTATAATGAAAAACTTTCCGGTTAGTTGGTAGTATTTGTTGCAAATCTCTTGGATATAAATCTAACAGGAAGTAGCATAGAGAGAACACCCATGTCATAGATAGAGGGGGGGAAAAAAAGTCAAGAGCCTGGGACTGTAGGTGTGACTCTTCCATTAACCACCTATTTCCTCCCAACTTCCTGACCCCCCTCAGGCCCTCAGATTCCTACGAAAAAAAAGGGGGGGGGGGAGGGACTGAGCCTGCAGGTGTTCAGTGAAGTCCTTTCCTACCGTAACATTTTATGGTTCTAAGTAACTTTAGAATTATTATTATTATTATTATTATTATTATTATTATTATTACTATTTTAAACCTTGCAAGCATTAACCTGGTGTTTTATCACAATTCTTTCAGAAGAAAAGAGGAACTTACAGGATGTACACTGAAGGTAAACAATAAATTTATGTTGTAGATTGACCCGCACTTTGGAACGGTGTGGACTTTTCACACCACAAGAGATGAGTCTCTCTTGCTAGAGAGCAAGCGAGCTTCCCGAAAAGAACGTTTTAAACCTCCCATCCCGTGCACCCAGAGCAGCCGGACACCATGGAAATGGCAAGTGAGTTGGCACCACCGCTCACCTACGAGTTCTCCAACCATGAACAGCAAGTACAGCACGGCGGCGATGGTCAGCCGGGTCTTCACCTTCCTCTGGGCCAGCCGCTCCCGGCGCCGGCTGCAGCTGTCGCAGGGGTCCGCCTTCAGGCTCAGGCGGCTGCGGGGCAGCGGCAGGTCCTGGTCCAGCAGCGAGTCGTCGTCGGCCTGGAGGGCCGGGTGCGCCCCGTTAGCAGGCCTCTCCGGGGCTTCGGAGCCGTCGTCGGCCACCACCACGCGAAGTTTGTTAAACCGGGAGAGCCCCTCGTCGCCCGCCTCGTCCGAGAAGTCGAAGGCGCTGGTGTCATTCAGAAACAGCGGCGCGTCGTCCTTCCGCAGCAGAGATTTGAGGCGCTTCCACGCGCCGGCCCCGGCCATGGCAGAGGCTGCGCGCCGCGCGCGGAACGGCCCGCGGCTGCAGGGACCGCCGGCCGGCGGGGCGGCCCCTACCTCACCGCCGCGCGTCCCTCCCCATCGCGTGGGACCCGAAGCACGTTCGGCATTAAAGGCGCCCCATCGCAGCCCGCAAGTGGGTGCCGGAGCCCCGGCGGCGGCGGGGGGCGCAGGGCGGGCGCGGAGGAGGCGCCGCGGCTCCGCGAGGGGGCGGCGCGTCGGTGTGGGGCGCCGCCGCGGGGCCGCCGCTCATCTCCCCGCCCCCGCTCGGCTCGGCTCGGCCCGGAGCCGCCGGGGAGCGGGGCTGGTCTCGCCTGCAGCGCCCGCAGCGCCAGGCCGGCTCCGCGGGTCTGACAGGTCCGCGCCCCGGCGCCCGCGGCCACCGCCTCTCCCCGCCCTTCCCGAGCCCGCCCGCCCGCGCGTGCGCGTGCGCCGGAGCGGCCGCGGGCGAGGCGCGCGCGGGAGGGGGCGGCGCGGGGACGCGCGAGCCGGCGCGCAGGGGCGCGCGCTCTGCGTCCCCGGGCCCCTCGCTCGGGTCCCGCCGACCCGGCCCCGCGCGCCCGCCTTTGCCCGAGGGATGCACACAGGCTCGGCCCCAACCCCGCGGGCCCTCCCACGTGCCCTCGTGGGGAGACAGAGGATGGGGCCCCGCTTGGCCTGGGAATTCGCTCTACGGAACCAGGGCCTGGCGGGGGGTGGGGAGCGGGGAAGCGAGGGTGGGACCTTGGTGGGGGAAACCCATTTAGCTCCATTTGTGAGTGGGAAGTCAGGCAGCTCCTCTCTCCCCAGTTCCTGCTTCTCGCTGGCAAATTGGCCAAGGTCAACTCGGAGAGGGCAAGGTGTATAGGATCCTCAGCTGCTCTGCGCCTAATATGTAGTTATTATTTTTAAAAATCAAAGGTGCCTTGTTCTCTTTGTGCTCACACTCCACCTTCCTTTTGCCTCCAAGTACCGGTAGTCACAATATGGACTAAACCCAACCAGAGACAATCTAGTAGAAATATCTCTTCTGGTCCTTAGTTCTGTTTAATAAGAAGTTAAAAATTCATTAAGTTCTGAGAAGGAGGTTCAAATTTAGATATAAATCTTAATGGAATGGAGTTCCCTCCACCACCACCACCACCATCACGGTGATTCCTTGGATGGAATTTAGGAATTTGGGAGGTCTTAAACATATGAGCAAAATTTTGTGGACATATATATATATATTTTTAGTAAGTCCCTTAGGCTTCATCATATTCTCAAATGGGGTTAAATCTCAAATAAAATTTAATACAGCAATAATAATAAAGACACTGTCAGGAGAAATTATCATTTAGATCAAACTTAGCTTCTACTTGGAGTTGAATTATAGTGCAAACTCCTATTTATCCAACGTTTATAAATATTGTATTTTTGTTTGTTACTTTTCCCCCCTATGGTTTTTTTTTAAATATATATATTTTATTGATTTTTTACAGAGAGGAAGGGAGAGAGATAGTTAGAAACATTAATGAGAGAGAAACATCGATCAGCTACCTCCTGCACACTCCTCACTGGGGATGTGCCCACAACCAAGGTACATGCCCTTGACTGGAATTGAACCTTGGACCTTTCAGTCCACAGGCTGACGCTCTATCCACTGAGCCAAACCTGATTTGGCCCCCTCGTGGATTTTTAGAGAGTTGAGGGAGAGGGAGAGAAAGAAACATTGATATGAGGGAGACACATCAATTATATGCCCTTGATGGGAATCGAACCCAGGATCCTTCAATCTATAGGCTAACACTATATCCACTGAGTTAAACCGGCAAGTCTATAAATGTTGTATTTTTTCAAATTTTTTATTGATTAAGGTATTACATGTATCCATATCTCCCCATTGCCCCCCGCCACCTCACTCCCATACATGCCCTCACCCCCCAGTATAAATGTTGTATTTTTAAAAATATATATTTTATTGATTTTTACAGAGAGAAAGGGAGAGGGATAAGGAGTTAGAAACATCAATGAGAAAGAATCATTGATCAGTTGCCTCTTGCACACTCCCTATTGGGGATGTACCCCCAACCAAGGTACATACTCTTGACCAAAATCGAACCTGGGACCCTTCAGTCCCCAGGACAATGCTGTATCCACTGAGCCAAACTGGTCAGGGCTACTAAATGTTGTATTTTAACAGTAGTCTACATGGACCACCAAATTTCAAGTCACAAAAAATATAACAAAAAGTCTTAAGAAACATCATTTTTCTCTGAAGATTCAGATGACATTTTAGAATTTTGCGTCTCAGGTGCACGAGTCCCAACCACTTTTAGATTCCAGAATAGCCCCTCGCTTTTGAAGGCCCGCAATATTCTTAAAGCACTGTAGCAATGGGAAATCAGGTGAGGAGACCTGGATCAGAGATCCCATAGTTCCCAAGACCCAGAATATTCAGTACTCATGGCACTTAGGTCATTGTCAGCAGAAGGTGGAGAGCTTACTGAAGGTTGCTTTCCTAACTCCAAATATCTTAATCCATCCATTTGGGAGTAGGTTATTTGTTATTTTTAATGTGTTTATTCTACTGCCTGAAATTCTAATGGTACAAATAAAGAAGCAAATATTCCAGGAGTGTGATAGCTTCCCAGTGTAAATTCTCCACATGAGATTCTTTATAAAGAAAAGGGAGAAATGTTTTCTAGAAAAGTCGAGGTGAGAGTATTTTCTTAAATTTTATTTTTAGTATTTACAGTAAACTCTATTGAGAAGTTTTGCATTCCAATTTATTTTAATTATTTTGTATAACTGGGTACCTGAAGAGAGAGATGGGAGGGCAGCCAAAAACTCCATGGTGATTTTAGGATAGGTTCAAAAATTCTGTGATACGATCCCCCTCAAGAGGTGAAGGTTACTTCCCGCCTCCCATTGAGTGTGGACTGCTCCTTCATGAACAGCTTATGGGTCATAATGAGCAGACTCTGGCAGGAGTGACCGTGTGTGACTTATAAGATGAGGTCACAAAAGGCATTGCAACTGCCTTCTTGTTCTCACTCTAAGGTCATTTGGACTGGGGGAGCTAGAGCTACCATGTCATGAAGACTCAGGCTTCCTGCCAACAGCCATGTGAGTGAGCAATGTTGGAAGCAGATCCCCCTAGTGAAGCCTTCAGATGGCTGCAGTCTGGATGATGACTGAAACCTCACCTTGAGCAGATCCTGAGCAGAACTACCCAGGTAAGCCATTCCCAGATGACCCACAGAGTCTGTGAGATAATAGATATGTATTGTTTTAATATGGTGAGCTTTGGGGTAATTTGTTACAGAGAAGCAGGTAACTAATAGACTCTATGTCAACTTTCCTTTGTACCAGAAAAGATACTTTTCTTATTCTTTCATCACATGGACTCTTGACCCAAGGCCTACCTTTGGGTTAGCGGCATGGTTTTTTTATTTTTTTATTTTTAATTTTTAATTTTTATTTTATCATTGAACTTAAAATGGGCTAAATAAATAGACTTCTGTGAATAGGTTTGGAATGTAACCACTATTTTCAATCTTATGTCTTTGTATTCAGAGCTTATCACAATAGACAAATGTACTTTTGAAATATAACTTCACAATCTGGTTACTGCCTGCAGTTCCGCTAGCTATTGCTTAGGGCACTATTTGTTTCCATAAGTGACTTCATATTTCTTCCTAGTATGAAGGATTTTTTTTCCCATGGGAAAATGAAAATGGTTGCCAGCCATTTAGCCCATCTCTTAACTAGGTAACCCATAATACAGAGATGATTTGGGTAATAACAGAGGCTTGTCAGTTAAATTGCAAGACACATAACCTTAGGGCAATTAACTGCAATGAGTGCAAAATATGCTATGTCAAAACCTGTTTTCTGGCCCAGCTATCTTTTGGAACAAATGACAATGGTAAAAATTATACAGCTAACATTTACTTAAGGCTTGTTTATGTGCTAGGCATTGTGCAGGTGCTCTGGCTTGTATTAGCTCATTGAATCCTTACAACCTCAATACGAAGAAGGAAGTGATTCAAAGCATGGGTCTTGGAAACAGACTGCTTGTGTTTGAATTCTAGCCTCATGATTTACAGTCATATAACCTCTGGCAGACTGTTTAACCTCTTTGTGCTTCAATTTTCTTAGCTATTAAACAATAATAATAGTTCCTACCTCACAGGGCCGTGGTTAGGGTTAAATAAGATAATGTATGCAAAACATGTAAAACTTAGCATGTAAGTAGTCTGGGCTCACTCAATGCCAGCTATTACTATTTTTTTTTTTAAGTAGATGAAGACACAGAGCCCGAGGGAGGTTAAGGAACTTGGCCAGTGTTGTGCAGCTAGCAAACAGCAGAAACTCAATCCAGATCAGTTTGGTTTCAGAACTGCGGCTCTTAAATGAACCATTACTCTATAACCTCCATACTGATTTCCACAGTGGCTGCACCAATCTGCATTCCCACCAACAGTGCACAAAGGTTCCCTTTCCTCCACACCCTCACCAACACTCGTTGTGTGTTGATTTATTGATGTCAGCCATTCTGACAGGTGTGAGGTGATATCTTAAGTGGTTTTAATGTGCACTTCTTCGATGATTAGTGATGTTGAGCATCTTCTCATGTCTATTAGCCATCTGTGTGTTCTCTTTGGAGAAGTGTTTGTTCAGGTCCTTTGTCCATTTTTTTTTAAACTTTGATTTGATGGTGAAGAACCTGAAGGTGTTTTTTTGTTTGTTTGTTTGTTTGTTTGTTTGAGTAATTTTTATTGATATTTAGAGAGAGAGAAAGGAAGAGGGAAAGAGAAACATGGATGTGAAAGCTTAACATTGATCAGCAAACTCCTGCATGCTCCCTGTTGGGGATTGAGCTGAAATCTAGCCAGGCGCCCTGACCAGGAATTGAACCAGCAACCTTTTACTTAGTCAACTGAGCCACATGGACCAAGACTGCCCATTTTTTAAAAATTGGATTGTTGGCTTTTTTGTGTGTTGAGTTGTGAGTTCTTTATAAATTTTAAGTATGAACCTCTTATAGGAAGTATCATTGGCTAATATTTTCTTGCATTCAGTAGGTTGTCTTTCATTTTGTTGATGGTTTCCTTTGATGTGTAAAAACTTTAGTTAGATATAGTTCCATTTATTTATTTTTTGTTTCCCTTGCCCAAGGAGATATATCAGAAAAAAAATTGCTAAGAGAGATGTCAGAGGTTTTACTGTCTATGCTTGCTTCTAGGAGTTTTATGGTTTTGAGCCTTACAATGAAATCTTTAATCCATTATGGTGTAAGAAAGTGGTCTAGTTTCATTTTTTCACATTTATCTGTCCCAATTTTCCCAATACCATTTAATAACTAGACAGTCTTTGCCCCACTGTATATTCTTTGCCTTCAGTGATTCCATTTCTAGGTGTATATTAGAAGAAATCCAAAACACTAATTTGAAA